TCGTCGTCGTCTCTCTACGACACACACACACACACACACACACACACACACACACACACACACACACACACACACACACACACACACACACACACACACACACACACACACACACACACACACACTTCTCCGCCTCATTCTGTTTCCATTTACTCGTTCGTTATCTGACCAGCTTCAATCTTGTAGGCTACTCACTTCGTTTCTTGTAGCCTTCGAAAGGGTTTTGGAGGTTGATGCCTCGTTGAACGTGAGTTGTTTGGCTTTCTTGTCCGCAGCAGCAGAAAGCATTTTTGAATGTTTGAATGAATCAAAGTGAGTCGTCACCGTCGATTTTCTCTAAGACTTATGCTCCAACACACAGTTGCACGGGGTGCAGAATAGTTTCCCCCCAATTTTGTGAAAGACATCGGGGTACTGCTTTGCCCAGTCTTTAGCAGAAATGTTCGTCGGTAAATGAGATGGATCAGATTTTTTCATCTTGGTGTTTTCTCTCTCGTCTGAGTTCCACACGTTCACTCTACGGTGTTGTTTACCTTCTGTGATGCGCGAGCTGATGACGCCACGTCATCATCATCATTACTTCACGAGTTAACTTTTTTTTCTCTCAACTTTGTGTGGAAAAATGCGGAGATTAATGCAGCCTTTTGATAAATATGCGGCCTTTTAAAAATCTGCGCCATTTTGCTGATTATGCTGTAAATTCTGCGATCGCAGGATCGCGTTTTTCTGGAGGGTCTAGTTAGCAAAGCGCTACCTGGCTGTATCTGCTACCTCTGTCCCTAGCGAGAGGGTGTTCTCCACAGCAGGAGACATTGTTAGTGTCAGCACTTCTGCCCTTTCGGCAATTAATGTGGAAAGGTTCATTTTTCTTTAAAAAAACATGAAAATAAAATGACAAGCAAGTCATAATGTCAAACTGGCTGCTTAGGTACTAGTACAGTACAGTTCAAATACAGATTATTTCAGTTCATCAAAATGCTGCACCTTAATGTTTATTTTATTCTATTTTGTATTTATTTGAGTAAATATTCACAGTTTAATAATAATTAAAAACCCAAAACTAATAGTTTATGTTTTGTGAGTAGGCTACTAGTAAAGTAAATTTCAAATACAGATTATTTAAGTTCATCGAAATGCTGCACCTTAATGTTTATTTTATTATATTTTGTATTTATTTGAGTGAATACATTATTCACAGTTTAATAATAATTTCAAAAAACCCAAAAATATGTTATGTTTTTGTGATAATTCTTTCTGCTGTACCGAAAACGTACCGAACCGTGACCTAAAAACCGAGGTACGTACCGAACCGAAATGTTTGTGAACCGTTACACCCCTAGATGCTAGAGGCAAAGATGCTACCTAATCTTGTATTCGTCATTGTTAAAAGACATTGTGGAGTGTGGATGTTTTCAACAGGTGAACGGAGCAGGAAACTGTAAACCCAGTCACAGTGTTGATCGAGTATAAGACAGCAGACATGTTTTAAGTAAAGGCTTGTAAAATGATACCATGTGTTCCTCAGCTTTGTGTATGGAGGGTCCAGGTCATCCCACCCCGACTCAGAGCTACTCCATCGGCAAACCTATGGCACCCCCCACCCCCTCCAGGGCTATGCCACCAACCACCACCCAGGAAGCTCCAGACAGGGGGGGGGCTGGGGGGCGGCTGGACGTACGCTGGGTAAGGACTCATCAGAAGGTATATCTGTAGAAATAAAAATGTCTATTTGTGCAATGTATTCCAGAAGGTGAATACAGGACTGAGAAGAATAAAGATTAACATTAAAGCTTGTAAATATGTTTCAGTATAAACCCAGAATAAAAGTAACAATAGTGGAGAAACCGTAATGGTATTTTTGAGATTTGTTTAAAAATCACCCAACCTCTTATTTTTCAAATCTCATATCTTTTAAACGCCAATTAAAACGGTTTACCCAATGTCTGTCCAGATAGGAATATAATATTATTTGGACGGTGCAGAGAGGCATGGCTTCTCTGAAGATCTGTGGGATCTTCATATGACTCTGTTACAGGGCTCAATAAAATAAATAGTAGGCACCTTTGCTTAAACTGTTTATATGATAATAGTATGATCCATGGTGAGAGATATATGAATAAAGTGACGGTTGTGATTTGTTGCCAGGCCTGTCCGGCTTCTTTGATGCCAGCCTCCACCATGCCAGCACTTCGGGTCCAGACCCCTCTGTCATGAATCTAATTTCAGCTCTGGAGTCACGGGGCCCACAGCCGCCCCCCTCTGCCTCCTCCCTCCTTTCTCAGTTTCGCACTCCTTCTTGGCAGACTGGTGAGTGTCAGCCTGTTATGAGAAATTCAACAATAGCTTGATGTTAGTTCTTGTTACAATTGAAATATATCCTAAGTAATAATTTAATTTATGAAAAAGTCATTACATTTGCAAAAATTATCCAAAAAGTCTTGGGTTGGTAATCTAACTACCAATTTGTTGTGTTTTTAAATGTGAATACCGACCTGCATTTACCAACACTGTCCATGTAATGTTATGTCCCGTAGCAATGCATACGCCGGCCCCGGCGGAGCTCTTTATCTCAGGGGCCCTTCCTAGTTCCAGCTCCTTCACCCCCTCCTCTGCCCTCTCTGCTTACCAACATCCTGGCTCCTTCTCCACGCGACCCTTCACCCCCTCACTGTCCCTGCAGGACACACCTTCATTTAGCCCCTCCTCCAACAGTTTGTTATCCCCCCATGATCCCCTGCTGCACATCAAAACACCCTCCCAGACCAGCTTGGGCTTTGATCGTTTGCTGTCTTCCCAGAGTTCCACGTATCGAGGGTCCCAGGAGGTCCTGGTACCTTCTCAGACCCAGGCCCCTCCCACCTCCTCCAGTTGCCACCTGCCATCTCCCCAGTTCAACCTGTTGTCCTCTCAGCTCCACAGCCAGTCCTCCCAGCTCTATAACTCCTCCATGTTCTCTTCCACTCCAGCTCTGCTTCCCACAGCCCCCCCCCTGACTGAGCCTTCTCAAGAGAGGCCAGTTTCCCGGCAGGACAGTGTGATCAAGCATTACCAGCGCTCCTCCCCATCCCAGTCCACAGCAGAGCAATATGCCAGCTTTGGGGGGTCATCCAGCTACCAGCAGATAGCCAGCCACCACCGGCACACTGGAGTGTCCTGCAGTCCTGGGGGGGAGCAGAGCCCTTCCTCCAACCCCAAGCCTTCACCGCGGCTGGAGTCCAACACGTATCGACCTACGATCCAAACCCCCTACCCATCCTCCAGCTCCTCAACCCCCTCCTCTGTCACTAAGGAAGCCAAGAGTTCCAGCTCCAACAGTGGCTACTCCTCTTCAGTCTCAGGATCCTCCACCTCCCGGCCCTCACATACTCCACCGTCAGCCCCTCCCACTTCTTCTGGGTCTACTTCTAGCTCCAAGACGAGCACTGGCTCCTTGTCTTCTTCCTCTTGTCAGCAGCCCCCACTTCAATCAGCTCCGGCACCCGCCCCTCTACCATTGGTATCATCCAACCTTGTTCAACAGCCAGCATCTAAACAAAGCCTCTCCACCTATGGTTCTCCACCTGGTGCCAAATCCAGCACGGGCCTACCGGATCATACCACTTCCCAACATGCCCAGGCCTACTCTCCTAACCAGCCTTCATCCGCACATATGGCCCATTCTTTTGGTGGCTTTACCTCACCTCTTGCCCAGGACCTGAGCTCTGGAGCAGGGGGATCTGGAGGGAAGGCTTTCACTGGTATTGGTTCAGGAGGACGTTCCTTTTCAGCAGAGATAGTCTTTGGGGACTCAAGCTTTGGTCCAACGTCTCTAAGAAGAGCCGGCAGTCCTTCCTTGGGGTATGGCACTGCTGGCGGGTCAAGTGGAACCGTATCAGGCAGTGGTGTTGGATCTGAATCAGGGAGCAGGGCTGCTATTGCTGGTAATGGCGGCAACAACTCCTACCACCTACCAGAGTCCATTCCATCACCCTCCATCAGTTCCACCACCAGTCGCCCTGGATTGCACTCTCCTGCTACTGCTCGCCCTGCACAGTCCCCTGGGGGCTTAGGGACTACTAAATATATGTCCTCCATTCTCTCGCCTAATTTTATGTCCTCATCACAAGGTTTCCCGGACACACACCTAGCGCAGAACCAGTCCTACCACACAACAACCCCCAAGCCAAAAACAGAAACCAACATGCTGGTTGTTGATAGATCCCAAGATGGGGAAGAAAATGATGAGGATTTCCTTATCCATCATCTACTACATGCACAGAACTCAACTCCCCATCCGTCCCAGCATCACCCACCTCCTCAGCAGCTGCCCCAGACTCTCCCACAGGCTAGGGAAGGGGAAGGCAAGGGGGTGACTTATGATATCAACAAGATATCTGAAGAGCGCTACCACCTTCACAGTGTCATTCGTACCAACACCATGCCCAGCAGTTCAGGTCCGGGAACATCAATTAGTGAGGCAGGCAGTGGCATTAACAGTCATTTGGAAATATCACGGAAGAAACAGCAACAGGTCAAATCAGAGATGATTACCACAAAGTCCGGTCCTGAAGGGCTGACCGACCCTCTCTCCCACTCTCACACTACCAACCCCCATCACCAGCTTGACTCCTTGGGGTCTGTTGCCCTTTATGGAAGAGGGCACCCTTACACCCATCACACCTCACATGTGTCCTCACATTCTCAGCATCCCCAGATCTCCCAGCACCCCCGGCACTCTCAGCACACACAGCACTCTCAACACACTCAGCACAGCCTTCCTCATCCCCTCTCCCACAGCCAGCCTCACATGGAGCTGAAGAAGTCCTCAGAGGCCAATGACAATGCCTACTTGTGTAACACACCAGATCTGCAGCGGGCTCGACAAAGCCAGGTCCCCCTCTCTCTGATAGATTCCCCAACAGACCCTGCCCAGCCTCCTCACATGATGCAGTCTGTCCTTTCTCACACCACCCACACTAAGATGGCCCCCCAGCAAGCTCCATCACAGCAAGCTCTGCTGGGATCAATAGGAGGAGCAGGGCCTACCCGGGGGGATTCCCACCCTCAGGACCAGTCCTCACAGCTCCAGATCCAGCTCCAGGCCCAGGCTATGGAAACCCACTACAGCCTTGGAGGCCAGCCAAGAGATCAAACACAAGCCAGTCAGAACTCAGTGTCTTCGCTAAAAATGTTGGACCAATCTCTTTCTGGGATTAACAGCAGAGGCAGTGGAGGAGCTCTGGACAGAACAGGGGTCAGAGGGGCTGGAGGGGAGGGAGGGGGTGGAGTCAGGCATAGACAGCAACACAGAATTACTCCCCACAACCTTCCTCAACAAACAGCCTCCGATCTCCATGACTTCCTCTCTGAACCAGATTTGAGCTTGCCCACCCCTTCTAACCTGCACCACCTCAACCAGTCTGAGGCCCATGTCCACCCCCATGCCCACCATCAACAGCAGGCACACACTGACCATCAGCTGGCACTCTCCCAATTAGCTCTCCCACACTCTCACCGAATGGCTACCAACATGGGAACTCCTCAACAACAGCATCAGCCCCAACAAAGGGACGCTGAAACTCTGTCTCACTCCCAGTTGGACCAGCTGAAACAGCACCAGTTTGACAGTGCCAGCCCAGTGAGAAAAGCAGGACAGAGTCAAGTTCAGCAGCAGCAGCAGCAGCAACAGCAGCAGCAACAGCAGCAGCAGCAGCAGCAGCAGCAGCAGCAGCAGCATCGCTTTGGGCCTCTAACATCCATCTGCTTTCCAGATTCTCTCCTACACGACGAAGACCGCTCTTTCTTTCCTGAGATGGAAGACATGTTTTGTTCAGCTGAATACAAGTCGAGTTGTGCTGAGGATTCTGGGGCCGGACAGACTGCTCAGGAGAGCTTGGCCCAGGGCCATGGGCAGGGGCAAGAGGAGAGCTTAAAATCAGGAGCTGCTGGAGAGGGCTATGGGATGCTTGGTCACCACAGTGATCAAGGGTATGGACAGTATTGCCAAAGCCATCCAGGAACAGGAAATGGCAACCTACACTTAGACCTTGACTCTATGAAGTCACATGAGCTTCCCTCCACTGTGAATACTGACCAGCTCGGCCTTATCCAATCCCAAACCCCCACTATGGGGCTGAGTTCAGCAGTACAAGGGGATGGCTCAGAGAACAAGATGCTCTGTGCTGTGGGAGTGGGTGGAAATTCAATGACTCCTGGTCTTACCTCACCTATATTTTGTTCCTCTCGACCCAAGAAACTGCTGAAGACAAGCTCATTCCACTTGCTCAAACAGCGGCGTGATCCCCAACCTCTAACAAAGAAAAACTATGCGCAGGAGTACGAGTTTGAGGATGATGAGGATAAGGCTGATGGTCCTGCTGATATTCGCCTGAACAGTCGTCGCCTTCCTAACCTGCTGCCTGACTTGGTGTCTAGTTGTAGGAAGGCTGGTGGCTCATCAGAAGTAAGTGGGCTTAGTCCAATGATGGGTGACATAGACTTCTGCCACCCTTCCAACTACTCTTCCCTAGCACACCCTCCACAACTCCTCCCCCACGAAGGCCCAAAAAAAAGAGGCAGGAAACCCACTAAACCAAAACGTGAAGGCCCTCCCCGTCCACGAGGTAGACCACGCATACGTCCACTTCCTGAGCCTCCCTACTGCAGGGGGCTGATGGGAACAGTGGGTGGAGAAGGCAAGAGGGGTAGAGGACGGGGTCGAGGCCGTGGCAGGAAGGAGGAAGGGAGTGTTGAAATGCATCACAATATGAACAAAGCACAAAGCCTTCCATATCAGCAGCAGCACTTCAGTCAGCAGCAGAATGTCCAGCAGCATCCACAGCAACACCACAGACAGCAGGCAGACCTCCACCAAGCTCCACAACCACCGCATCAACTGCATCATCAGCAGCAGCATGTCTCCTGTCCTATCCAACAACCGCATCAGCAACAGCACCATCATCTTCCACAGCAGCCCCCCCAACAGCCACAGCAAGCTCCAATCACACCTATCAAGGTACTGGCTCTGTTCTTCCATAATCATAGTCACTGCTCAAAGTATTTACATGCACTCCTGACTAGCATTATAGACAATTGTAATATATCTCTGTGAAACCACCCTGAGGGAATTAACAATCAGCATTACTGACCTTTGTCATATATCTCCTATAAAGCTAAACTACAGCAATTATAACAAGATAAATGTTTCACATTATTTTTCTTTCTAACCCCTTTCCATACATCCGTCTCTCTCAGATCAAACTGCCCGTCCCCACCCTTTCTCCATCAGAATCATTGTTAAGGACAGACTCATTGACCAGTGCTGAACCGGTTCTGTCCGACGGGTCGGTGGGGTCTGCTCCCTCTCTGGGCCTGAGTCCTGGACCCAGCTCCGCCATGGACATCAACAGGAGTGAGGTGAACCTGACTCCAGAGGAGGTGATGAAGAATCAGCATAAAGCTGTCGAGGTAAAAACAGTTTACAGTCCTGTGTCCACGTCTGACTGCTCACTAGTCATTCTCTCTCATAATGATAGACTTGTCTTTGTTGGGATATTTGTTTGTGTCTCAATGACAAGTATTACACTTTCCAATGGTTTGAAATGATGGTGAGTGCTGCATATGAATTAAATGAAGATCTCACCATGTAAATGTGAATGAGTGGCAGTGTGGGATGTGGAACCAAAGCTGTGAGTTTCTCATCTCTCTGTCTTATTACCAGTGTTGTGCTAGTTACTGAAAACCAGTAACTAGTTACCATTACTAGTTACTTCATTTCAAAAGTAACTCAGTTACTTTACTGATTACTTACACCAAATACTGTGAACAGTAACGCATTAGTTACTTAAAAAAGGGCTCCCATTAATGCCCTTATAGCCTTCATTTCAGTACTGTTATTGCATTGGAGAATAATACAATCTGTTGATCAAGAAATAGCAATAGAAATAGTAGAAATAGCCTGCATGTGTTCTACAACATACCGTGCAATGGCTTTATCAACTTTTCCCTGGCTAGCAGTCCCTGTTGCTTAGGTGGAGGTGGAGTGGCGTCGGATGAGTCTGGGTCTTAGCTACTAGCTTCGTCCCACAACGCGAATGATGTGTAGAAACAGATCCTTCTTCTTCTTCTTCATGTCAGGGTGTGCAGGAGAAGCAGCTGTAGATAAAGAAGGGCTGCAGAGGATTGTGCATGACAGCTTGTATTTCATGTTGGAGGGAAATTAAATCTAGTTGCCTCAGCAACAGTAAGGTTCAATGTATCTGCAGACTCTGTTATCACTGAAGTGACACCTTAGATTTCCAATGAAGCCAAACTGATATACAATTTGGTTATTAAGTATTTGAACACCTATCATTTTGTGTATAAATATTTGTAATCCTAATCTTAATCTAAATAATTGTGTCCCTGATTGTAAGAAACCCAGACCATGACATCATGCAGATAACTGTACACATCTTGAATGGGATCACATTACATTGTTGATGTAAAGTTAAAGTAAACCCATTTTTAAAAGCAGTTTTCTCTGATCTTAACACAGTTGACGTGGAAGAAAGAAATTGAGGATCCACTGAATCCTGAATCCTGGGATGCTGTACAGAAGCTCTCCAGTTCAGTAAGTCGCTTCACACCCTTGAGTAAATGAGCAAAGCCCAGAGCCTCATATATAATTCAGACCTCATCCATTCAAACTGCAGCCGGTGTAGAGAACACATCCTCTACCTTCTTCACACCTCAGCTGCTGAAGGCCCTTGTAAAAAAGGTAGCATGTTGCCCAGCTAAGCTCAAACTAAATATAAATTTGATTTAGTGGCGTAGTCTCCAGTGCAACAAAAATATAATACCTGAGTTCTCAGCCATTTGTAGTGATTGGAGGTTTAGAGAGAAGGAGGTTATTGTTGACTGACAGCCAGTTCTTTCTGACAGACAAAAGAGAGGAGAGAGATGGTTGTTACCAGGGCAGCTGTTGCCACGGTTACTACATTTCCCAGTGCAGAACACTTGCTGCCACCTGCTGTCTGTGAAGCTTTACCTTTACCCGGTATATATGAAACTGAGCCACATGAACCGCACATCTAAACTATTGTTTTTTTAAATAACATACATTTCTGCAAAACGTTTAAATATCCCAAATCTGCCATTTTTTTTAAAGCAAAACTTCCATACATTTTAGTAGTAAACAGGATATATTTTACATTTGTATAGACCAGATGATCAGATGGAATCAAATAAATTGTTTATCAAAAAATAAATTTCATTTAGTTGAAGCCCTTAAAGGTCCTGCATGATCTCCTGGAGGGTTCTGTCTGTCAGATCTCAGAAACGGGGGGTTACGTATTGTAACCCTAGTTATATAAGCACAGGCGGAGCCCTCTACTGGACTCTATGGGTACTACCCTCAATCATGCTATGCAAGCATTCACCTATTGAGATATGTGACCCGCTCTATCGAAATCAGTCGGAAGTCGCAACGGCTCATTTCAAAATAAACGTGGATTTGTGTA